CCCCCCTGAGAGCTCTCAGGGCACATGACAGGCGGCTAGTATAGCGGACGAGCAGCGAGGAGGCCGTCACCGCGTCCAAAACAATTATAACGACGCGCATGTGTCGCATACACATTTTTCTCGTTGTTGTTGTTCTTTTCAGGCCAAAAGCGCGGACGATCCGAAGCATCTGTCGATGGACAATAGGGCAGGAGCAGCGCTGCTGCTGGACACGTTGCCAATCACACGCGTTGTAGGACAAAACTGTACACAGCCGAAAGCAACCATTGTAAAAATTACAAAAACAATTTCTACATCAAAATCAACAGGACGTTGTTCGCAATTTGAGTCGAAATCTAAATCGTTGTTCAACAACGGTTAAACGCGTTTTTTTCTCACCACAATATAGGTTAAAACTGTTACAACTGAAGACTGTTCGCGAGCGTGGCTTCCAGGCTTCCCAATCCCAACCCAACTGAAAGAAATCTACACGTCGTCGTGAATGTTGAGGGAGGGAAACCAGAGAGAATACCAGAGCGAAGCCCGGCCGTGCGGGGTCAGCGCGGGGAGGTGGCCACCCCTGCACCCCTGCCCTCCCACTCCGCTTTGGTAATCCAACTTCTCCAACTATTTTAACCCCTCCCTCCCTGCCCATCGGTAACGGCGAGCAGAGAGAAAGAGAGAGTAAGCACGCTGCACGATATGCCACCGAGTCCGCAAAAGAAGAGCGAGTCCGAGCGAGTTGGTCGGTACGGCATGAGATGCGCCACCGTACCGACCGTCGCCATGGCAACGACCGGCATGCACACTAATGCACTGCAGGGCACTCGACACGACATGGGGACCCACTCAGGCGAGAGCCGGCCTCCGCGGAGCAGAGGAGAGAGGGAGAGAGAGAGAGAGGGGAAGGGAAAGAGAGACGGAGAGGCAGGGAGAGGGAGAGAGAAGTAGAAGGCCAGAGGGCAGGCGGCCGCGCCTAGCGCAGCAGCCGCACCACAGACCGTCGCGAACGCGAACTTTACCTACGGTTACGGCGGCGCCGCGCTGAGCTAGGGGGGGCGCGGGGGGCGTGGTGTGGTGCCCTGGATGGCTCTCCCGGTTCTCACGGTTAGAAGCTCGCGCGGTCGCGGTGCAGCGGTAAAGCGAGAGCCCCCCCTCCCCCCGCCCTTTTCCTCTGGACTGGCAGGACGCTGCGGGTGCGGGTGGGGGGGGGGGGGCGGTTACACCATATAGACCCGTACCCTTTACTCGACCCTGTCACGTGAAACTAAATCAAAGACATGTATCGCCCTGCTCGCGAGAGTCGTCCCGAGTGACGTGCCCCCCACTCTCTCTCGGGGGACTCCTTGCTCGCGCCACATGGGACACCCACAAGGAGACTCTCTTCATCATCGCTTCGCCGTGAGCCTTGTTCCTTCGGGAGCCACATGGTGCGTGGTTGTCGCGGTAGCGATGATCCGCCGACTCCGCGACGGCGGCAGTGGGGTCGGTGGCGTTGTGGCGGTCCAAATGTCAAACGACAACGTCGCGCTGCTCGGCGGCGGTCCATCTCCTCAGCCTCCTCTTCCTCTCGCCGTGGTGACCGCCCCCCCCCCCCCACCTTGGCAGCCTCTGCAGCCTCTTCGCATTCATACACCGCGCATTGCATCGCTTTTCCATTTAAACCGCTCCGGGTTTTTTAAAATTTCCGCGCCGTCGCATAATGCGTCCCGTCTCTTGTTGTCCGTGAGGAGGGACGGTGGCGGGAGGGGGGGGGGAGAGGAGCAAAGCTAAGCGCGCCAAACGGCTCTTTACTTCTTTTTATTCTTTTTTTTCCGTTTTCTTTTTTAGTTTGCCCACCCTCCTCCTCCTCCCCCTCCCCTCGCTGAGCCTGACTGTATGTATGTGTGTGTGTGTATGAGTTTCAGACAGCGTTGATCGACCCCGCGCTCACACACACACACGCACACATTCTCGCGAGGGATGCAACAGCCAACGCAGCCAACCCCTCCCGCTCCCTCCCTCCCCGCGACCAGAGAGAGAGGGGTGCTTGAGGGCGAGCTCCCACGGCCTGGTGACTCACAACACACATCTCCTCAGTGCATCGCATTCCCGCAGTCTCTCCCGCGTCCCTCCCCTCCTCTGCTATTCTCTCCTAGAAGACTCTCTCTAAAACCAGCGACTCCGTCCGTCCTCCTCCTCCGCCGCCACCACCACCACCTCGACCTGGAGGGCGGCGTGCAGCGTGCTCGGTGTGGCGAGCAGCTGATGTCCATAATGCGGGCCAGGTATAGAAGCAGGCAGCAG